GTTAGTCACCCCCCATTAATCACTGCCATTAATTAATCACTGCCCCATTAATCACTGCCCCATTAGTTACCCCATTAAGTACCCCTATTAGTTATTATTTCCCATCAATTAATCACTCCTATTAACGAATTACCCCATTAATGACTCATCCCCATTTATTATTTCCTCTAAGTAATCAGCGCCATTAATTACTCCCACGAATTAATTACTCCCAGGAATTAATTACCCCCCATTAATCGTCACCCATTAACTAATTGTCCCCCTTAATTAGCTCATTGATTACCCCAATAATTATTCATCTCATTAATTGCCCCCCATTCACTATTCCCATTCATCCGCACCTTAGTTGCTCTGTTAATTGGGCCTTGTTAATCACCCCCCATTAATTACCTCATTAATGACCCCCGTTGATTGTGTTCCATTAATTACACCATTAATGATCTCTCCCATTAATTACCCCCTTCATTACCCCGTTAATTATCCTCATTCATTACGCTATCAATAATTCTCGTTAATTATTCCTCATTAACAACTCCGCATTATTAATCCCCATTATTAACTCGCTCATTAATAACTGCCCCTTCTTTAATAACTGCTTCTCATTAATAATCCCCCGAATTAATAAGCTCCTCCAATTAATCACCTTGCTATTAACACCTTCTCTATTAACGTGTGCCATTAATTACGCCGCCATTAATGATCCTCTCATTAATAATGCCTTCCTAATAAGCCCCCCATTAATAAGCGCCCATTAATAACCCCCATTAATAGCCCCCCATTAATAATTCCCTCATTAACAACCCCCATTAACAACTGCCTTCATTAATCACCTTGTTATTAGCACTCTATTAATCTTTGCCATTAATTACCCCCCCATTAATGATTCTCCCATTAATAATCCCTTACTAATAAGCCCCCCATTAACAGCCCCCATTAATAACCCCATCCCCACTAATAACCCCCCATTAATTACCCCCCATTAATCACCTTATTAACACGCCCTCTATTAATTC